CAGAATTTGACATTTGAATTTCAGAACGCGTGCATGTTGCTTGCTTGAGCATCAACTAAATGACATTCTTGGTATGGAGCGGAGCTTGAAAAAATAAGCGGGGGAAAATGCCGACTTGTCTCCCGGCGTGTCATATTTGACGTGAAAGCGTTGTTCGTCGACTTTCGTATACTGTACTCAATCGGAACAGTGAACCAGAATTCTTTTTAAACTCACGACGTGACACAATAAGCTCTGAAAATACAATCTTTTCATCGCAGCTTTGCTTCTCCGCAATTTTATGTTTTCTATTGTCGTGTGAAAATCGCTGCGACCTTTGGGTTAATGCTGTGAACGATGAAGCTTTTGTGTAAAGGCAAGAGGTGCAGTGAAGAAAATTACATGTTACATTAGTGTATATTGGGTGGCCGTGTATTGAAGGTCTCAAAATTGTCGAATTTATGGTGGCGCGACTTTTTCCCACTACTCGTTTTAAACATGAGTATGACAAAAAAATGCTACTCATTTAGTGAAATGGAAGGCTCATTCTTTGTCGATTAATGATTGTGCGTGAGAAAAAAATTTTGCATTATCAAGCTAACCGAAGAGCATAACGATATTGTACCTTTACAGTATTTGCATCACCCAAGCACATCATTCCAGAACAAGAACAATTGCAAGCAGAGCTTTTCTGTGCATAACATGTTTACCCCCTGGAGAAATCCTGCGATTTCTTCGTTCTAACTGGATCATAATTCGAAGGTTCTAATGTAACCGATAGTCAAATACGCGTTCTGTTTCCAAATTGAATTTCTGTTCATTTTCCGTTGAACGAATGCTGTGTTTCTACGTTGAAACCAGAGATAAGCGCAGAATTGAAGCCGATGTTGACTTCTGGTAAAAGTTCACGATATGTAGCTCCAATTATTTCTGAATGAAATTGGAAATGGTTCGATATTTCCAATAAGCATGTGAACCTGTACGTAGCTGTCCTAGCTCATTGTGGTTAATTCGATGAGCAATCTGAAGTACAAATTGTAATGTTGGAAGTTTGTACTCCTAGCATTTTCCTATGAAGTTACCCAGTTTTCTCGAAGTTCTGCTTCTCCCAAAAATCACAAAACTTCGAGAGCTTGGGTTTTTTCTTTTGCGAAGAACTCGTACAAAATTAACTTTCTTTAAGAACTTCTTTAGCCGAACGAACGTTCTCAACTTCTGTTCGCATGAAAAATGCTCGTGGTTTTTAATCTAGTATCGGAAAATCGAAACTTTTGCTTGGTTCGCAACGTTTACGTGGAAAATCATTGAATTCTGTAATAACTTGTACAAATAAACCGCATTAAAAGTTCGGCGTTGGTTGCAGTGACGTGGCTCATGGGATGCCCAATGAGAAATTCTCCGGCGTTTCGACCGAATTCGATTGAGCAGAACGAATGACGGAGATTTCTTTCTGACTGCTTGGAAGTACTGGATTGGAATCTACGAGACAATTGATGTCACGACGAAGCATCAGCTTTGACGTTCCTAATTATTTCGAGATTAGTCATTTGGAGGCAAGAGCACTTGCGAGGTCACGATGATTTTACCCTAAAAACCCTCCAGCGATCACCCCTTAGGAGAACGATCTAATATGCCGATATTTCGATGCAAAACATTCGCGTGTTACTCATGTCGGTTCCATTCGAGTGTCTTCCGCCTGTGGTAGGTCTGTGCTCGGAGCTCCATTCGCGAGCCGCCGGTAACGATGTTTTCCTGTTTGCAAGGAGCAGCAAATGTGGGGGAAAATGCAACAGACTTGAGAGTGGCTCAGGGAATAAGCACGCTGCTCGAATGAGGAATGACATCCGTTTGTCGGTTCACGTCCCGTGACTGGTAATGGCGTATGAAATTTTGCGGTTTTTCTCTGCGCTCTGGCAGGCTTAAGATGTTCAGGCTGTGTCTGACGTCAGATCGCTGCCATCGTCACACCCTTCAATACCGCGTTAAGCTAGTGAAAGCTGACTTGAAATGCTCCTTCATGATATTACCGTCGGGTGTTCCGTGAAAATGTGAACGTAGAACTAAAGGCTCGTTCGAACACGAAAACTTCTATCGCCGTTTTTCCCTTTCGTGGGATAGAAATGACCTTTTGCACGGAGTGCCATAAAAAGGTGAATTCACTCCCCAATTTATTACCCGTATTGTTCTTTTCATGCGAATCTTTTTGTATACCGGTCCTGAAAAAAACATGATGAAAATCTATCTGTAACAAAAAGGTGTGATGAAATTTTCATCTGACGTAATGCAAAGCAAAGAAGAGCAACTGGAGACCAGCTTTTTATAAGCGTTAAAAAGATGAAGAGGAGCGCTGTATTAGCTCGAATACAATGTACTAATTATTTCAAGAGGCACCTAAGATTTCGTCAGCAAATATACGACGTAGTTTGATTGAATATCTTCAAAATTTGAGTTTATATAACTGATACTGGTTTTTAATTTCCATGACGCCCCAGCTCCCAGATAAGTCCGTACAAAATGTATTTTTGTATGTTCACTATTGTTTAAAAACTCACTATGGGCCAGAAGCAATCTGAGGTTCAAAAATGGGACGCCAGGTTCTTAAGGCGTACGCTGATTTATTGGAGTGATACTTTCTGGAAGAAGCGCACTTTTTATTTCAGTGTGAACGGTAACTTGATGCACTAAAAATGTCCGTGGAAGCATTTTCATAAACTACTCATCGTAGGAAACCTCAACAATTGCTTTTCCATTAGGCCACGATTAACGATGTTCCGCATATCCAGGAACATTGTAGGTTCGCTCTGTGCGCGTGCTTTGTTTCGCCGACTAGGTAAAATTGGGGATTAGGTGATATCTCATTCAGTTTCTTCTCGATGAAGGAACGATCCACTGTGAATTTTCTGTGGTGATGCTGAGCTCCGAATCCCTCTGTTGGTGTAAACCAGAAGGCTGGGACGCTGGAACAAAGGATAAGACACCCAGAGTCCATGTGCAATTCTAGCTCTTCGATTGGATCAAAGGATACCGAATACGCTTATGGAGTGCCATTCTTCTTTTTCTCGCTCTTTTCCTCGGTCGGTAATTGCATCTTCACCCGTGTCCTCGTTTTCCATGGACCTTAATGTGAATTTCATGAGCCTCGTGTTTTCGTGCCGACCTTCGATGTGCGGGGCAAAGGCTAGCCGACATCGAAGCAGAGAAGTTTTTGCTCGTAGTCCACCTGCGTTTGATCTTCAACTTTTCGCGCTGAGAATCCGTTGAAATCGCACATGCAGATATTTTTTTTTCTTCAAAAATTTAACAGTGAATATTGAGCGTATGTCTACCATTTTCCGGTGAAATTAGATTGCCTGTGGGATGCTGAACAAAATGAGGTCGATGCGTTTCATTAAACACTTTTCCCTATTAATCAGGTTTGAAAGAATAGTTCATCAGATGACGAATTCAACTCTGAGCACATGCACCAACAGTTTTCAGGTGATTATTGATTATTTTATGAAGAGAGACGCTTTTTTAGATTTCTTGCGCAACCTCCTGCAAGTTTCTGTTTGGTTGGTCGCATGATCGAGCTCGATTGTGATTGGACTGCGATTTTGTAATTGAATATGCGTTTACACATTTCCAATGCTTCCAGATTACTTGGAAGAAAAATAAATGAATGAAAAGCGGCGAGAACCGCGTGAATTATCCTAAGACAGACTTTCCGGAAGCGGTAAAAATTTGACCGTTGTGTGAATCGATCTGCGATAAGTAGCACGAGATTCTATGAGTTGCGTTTACGTGATGAGAACCGCAGAAGTTTCTGCATTCCTCGCGATGACATTGCAAATATTTATCGTTCGGTGTTACAATGGTACCCTTCGCTGTGCTGTTTTTGTCACATTCCTGTTTTTCGTTTTTGACGAATTTCGTTCGCGCGTCTGTTGCGAAGCATGGAAACTTATGTTGAACCGTAATTCAGTTCGAAATTCATCTCTTATCCGATGCGCATGCAACAAAAGATGACGTTTTAATTCCGGACTCTTTCATTCGTCAACAATTTAGTGAAGCAACACTTAAACTCAGTACAGTATCAGTATCGATGTGCAGTGGACTCGTCTCTTGGTCGCAATTTTTCAAAGTGATGCATTTTTTTGCGAATCTGGCAGTTTTGATATCAGTTGTCGCGTTTAATACAGTACAGTATTAATCGTAATATCTTCCGTTTAATGTATGTACAGTATTCGTTTTTAGACTTCAGATTGTGTTTCCCTTGTCCGAAGATTTACCACCGAATGAATGCAAATATGGGTACTGGGGCTCATTTCCTGACCGTGCAATGAAATTTCCGGTCAACTAAGGGAAAGCAATACCCAGAATTGCCACCTGCTTGATTTTACATCCTTGTTATTTTTCTATAAGTAAGCAGGAGTTCGCTCTTGATTATTAAGGTAGTGCCTTTCAATATGATGTGTGAACTTTTTCTTGGACTAAATCCGGTGCATTTGATCTCTCATTATTCGCGGTGTTTGACTTGAGAAAACGCACTTCAAACTCTCTTTCCCGTCGTTTTTCCAATTTGATTAAACTTTTTTTTTTATACACAAGAATTTTGGCGTTCTCCGGCAAGGGCAAATTCCAAGATCGCCTGTCACGAACGAGAGGTTTTAATCTTTTTTTATCGGACGTATTCTTCGAACTCATTCCTGTGGCAGAATCCCTGAAGTAATCACCTCTTGGGTTAGGTGCATGCCTTAGTCAAGTAATGTTGGCCAATATGTCTGAGGGCATACTTCTTTTTACATTACTTGCTCAAATGGCGATTGATAGTAAAACAAATTACTCTTTCGATGCAGTTCACGTGGTTTCATTCATTTTATTGGATATGCCATTGAGCCCCCGAAAACGCCGCGGAGAAACTGGTTTAGAGCTATTGTACTGTGCTGCCATGAACGAACTTTCGTACCCGCGTTACCGAAAGCTTGCACAAAGCCAGGCAATTCGAATGTGTCTTATTTGCATGTGCTGTTTCTATTGATTAGGAGGACATGGCGCGACGACGGGAAGAAGAAGCCCGACGACAGCGTGAAGAAGACTTCCTGAGGAGTTCTTTGCGCGGGTCGGAGAAACTGAAGGCGTTGGAGGAGCCACGCACCCCGACGCCTGCCATGACGATGCCCACCGATGTCAAGGGATCTGTGAACGCCGCCTTCGCCATGGACGACGATGTGCATAATCAGGAACGGCAGACACAGCCGCCTTCTCGACCCGGCTACCGGGAAGACATTGGCAGGGTTGTCGGTGAGTTCTTTTCACGTTCTTTTCTCAGTACCGGTGAGAGATTTTCGTTTTGGGCGAATACTCGGCAAAACTAGACGATGTCGATCAGCTAGATTTATGGTTAGAAACCGCCTTCATCCCCGACTTGGGAAAATGGGATTCAGTAATAGATAATTGTATACCGGTTCATTATGCTCTCCAGGAATAGTTCCTTGCTTTTTTGACGGCACGTGTGAATGATTTGTGGAGGACAATTTGCGAAAAACGTACATAAGTGAGGTGGTCAACGTAAATATACGAGTAGATTATCTGCAGCAACCGTCTACTATAATTTTTGCTTGTATAACAATTTTTTTTTTTTTTTTGGTACCATGGAATTTTCGATCCATATTGTTGAGATTGTCTACAACAGAATTCTCTGAACAACGATTTTTACTGGTCCCTCGAATTTCATTGCAGAGAAAGTCCACCTGTAAATTTTCCTGGATACCTTTAGGAGAAATTACATTTCGCTTCCTCACATTCGTTGATCTGTGGGTGTAGGAGAAGTAGACGACTCAATATCCACAAGCCCCGATCTAAGATCATGGTAGGTGAATGATTAATTCAATGCGGGGCATTTCGAACTTTCTGGGCAGTGTTCCAAGTCATGGCCGTGTTTATGTACCAGCGCCCGAGTTTCCCACCTGCGGCATGTGTGCTGCATCTTCAAAAGGACTGGATTAGATTTATATTTGAGATTCCAATCACAAGTTCTGTGCTCGAATCAGGTCCTCCTGAAAGGTGATTCTCAACCTCTGCCCCTCGGAGCCGTAAGGACACGGCGTCCATTCCCCAGGCGCCCCACGACTTCGCGAGGAAATTCAACGAAAGAAATGTAGAAGTTGAAAAATAAAATTCTAAATCTAAAGTACGACTCGCGAAGAATCAGCGAGGAATGCTTTTTCCGAAACTTGATGCGATGGTCCCGCCGCAAAACGTGAGGGAAGTTATGATTGAGGGAGCCCCAAGAATGACATGAAACTGACGTGATTGGCCCAAAGGGCATCGAAGCAGCGATTAATAGAGAAAAGGCCCTGATTTTGAATTTTGAGAACCTCTGCTAAAAGAATGGCCCATTATATTTTAACGGCTCTTCTGTGTTCCTGAGGCTCGGCGAATTCGGAACGCGCATTGTCAACTCCGAGACAATCCTACCCACCATCTGCCTGGCATACAGTTTCCTGATTGAACCGATGTATCATCGGTTTAAAAGCCCTGAAACAGAGAATACCCAGAACATCTACTACAGTACTGTAGATTATTGTTGAACGTGCAGATCGTGAAAGAAACGAAAATCCCATGCGGAATGATCGTTTTGATTTGAACCCGAATTTTCGACTGCCCGAAAGAAAGCTGCGGATTTCAGTGCACGTATATAATGCGTTCGACTCCGGAATAAATTCGACAAATGACGAAAATTTGGAACATTGTTCGTCAGATTCCTCTCTAGACTACAAAAGTCACTGGTTTCATTGGTGCATGCAAGGGGAATACTCGGTGAAATCATGGGTTGCTCGAAAAAAGATGTCTCGGTCGTTGACGAGAGCGTGGAAATGTTGAAAAGTAAAAATAAAAACCCGCCTAGAATTTTCCAACCCGTGGACATTGTTGAGCATGGTACGCTGCTCTGCCCTCGTTGCATTGTAACGCCCAGCTTCCCATGATGTACGTTGACTGCAAGCGTCATTCTGCATGCGTGATGACTTCCGTGCGCAAATACCGGTCAAAAACGCAGTGTTTCCTCGGACGAGCAATTTATCAGTTTTTCTGGGTAACTTTTGAGGAAGAAATGTATTTCGGAGAAATATTTAGGGCAGATTCAAGGCGAAAGTGTCAAATTATTTATCTTGATCATTTATTCTCTAAATCTCTACGGAGTGCCTTGATGTCATTTATTTCGTTCGGTGCGACGGCAGAACCGATTAACGAACCAACGTAATCCTTCCGATTTATTTCCTGTGAATGATGATGTATCGATTCGTGACTCACCCATTAAGAGTTTCTCATTCCTCTCTACCGGAAACTGATCGGATCTAGCAAATCAGCTCTCGTTCCTGTTGAATGTCGATGTTTCCGCGCGTGAAAAGAATTCCTTTACCTGCTGAATATAGAGAATGGCGGACTTCCGGTATTTTGCCCTTCTTGGCTCTTGGATCTTATTTTTTTCGTTTTCGGGGGACGCATTCTTCTAAGAATTTTTTTCGTATCGAAATAACGAAAAATACTTGTCAAATTTAGCGGGAAAATGTATCACGAAATACTTTGATGAAATTAACTCCGGGGTTCGCAAACACCCTCACTTTTTTTGGACCTTCGAGGCATTTTTGCAGGAGCCGCGAATGAATTCGTTTACATAATCAACGTGTCTTTCTGATACGCAAATAAAGTGTAACTTTCACCACATTTTCATTCCCTTCGAAGTTCGAAAACCTTCCGTGCTCAAATGGCTGAACTACCGAAGGATTGAACCCAGTCCTGAGTCGCTCTTTTGTGGTAGGTCAGCTCCATGTGTAAGCATCACAAGTTTCTTGATGGAGTAAAAATAACTAAATTATTATTTAATTGAATTCTCTTTCGTGATGTCTTTGAAGTGCTTTCGCCTGTCCCCCCAAAACGATCGCATCTCTTGATCCGGGGCTTTTCAAGCCGTGGTACGCTATAGCTTGGCATTCTGAGGAATGGTACGTAAGCGTAGAACAAAATTGACGTTCTGGACGAAATTGAATAAAGACGTGACTGAAAGGCATTAGGAACTTGCAGGAAGTTGAATGGCAAGTGCACCTTGTGCGAAATTGTGCACTATGTATGAAATACTATGTCCTTTATTGAGTTTATTGTCCGAGAGCAGTAGGCGGTGCGTCAACACTCATGTCTTGAAAGGGGCGTGATGCAGAATGAACCCCGGTAATTTATGGGAGTTCCATCGACAGTTTTTGTTCTTGCGGTTCTGTCAGCTGCCGGTAATTGAAAACGAACAACCACTGTTAAATGAACGAAATCCCACTTAACCCGGGGGCCTCCCATGTGAGTGATGATGGTTATCTCAGAAAATACTACCTACAGTAGTTCCGTTTTGTTTTTGGGATGGAGTGTTAAATGAGGACGTCTGATGATAGGGTAGAGCAAACAGTTTGCAGGTCCCAGTGCTAACACTTCCTCTGCGGAGGAAAGAATGAAGATGGAACGGCACGCACCGGTAGTCGGGTCGGGCCTGTGGCGATGCTGGAAAAAGAAGCATCCCCAACAATCCTATGGAAATATGCTGGTTGTGTCTGTGCTTGCTGTTTATTAGTTTCTTCTCACAAGTTCCCCTATCCGCTGTGCTACATTGGCCATGCAACTCCCTCGTGTACCACTTATGACCAACGCGCGATGATGAACGAAGCTTGGCCACCGGACCCTCCCCCTCTCCTGGCGAGGTAAAATTCAGAAGTTCTCGTCCCTCCTAATCTGAATTAAAATTTTATGCTTCAGTTACATTTAAGAAATTCAGTCACCGATTTTTAAAGAAATATATTTTCACTGTTATCCGATTTATCATGGCAATGATTTCTTCTGAGGGAATCTCTGAACCGAAACTCTGAAAAAACTTGTCCGAATCTCCCCCCCCCCCCCCCCCCCCCCCCCC